CACACACATAGAGACAGACAGATACACAGACACACACACAGACACACAGACACACACACAGACACACGTAAACACGTACTTCAATAGTTTCTCAAGGTTGATGATAAACACCCAGTTCAGTATCATCGTGAAAGTCCCAAATAAGCTTGAGGCTAGCTTAATTTTGATTGTATTTCGACGAGATGAAAGAAAGGAATTCATGCAATTAGCATCGCCTGACGCCGAAGGAGAAGGATCTTGAACTACTGAATAAGTTCTCGACGCAACATTTCGAAACTCGCTGGTTCCTTGCCCATCTTTCATTCATAATTTGGCATCAGATGTCTTCCTTGCTTGGGTCGCAGCTTCAAAACCATCCTTCTTCGGCTTTCGGTGACTCCAAGTTATGAATCGCTTCGACTAGTTTCTTCAAACTAAAGCAAAGCTACGTCCTCTTCCTATCGGGACGTTTGTGCTGATAATGAACCGTATGTTCTTAATCAACTTCAATAGAATACTGAACTATGTATTTGTATGTGGGTGAATGTGTGGAAATGTCAACTGCCAGTGTGTATGCTCCGAGCAGGGTTTTACATTTTAGGTTTATGATGGTTCCCCCACCACAGTGAAGGTCTAGTTGCCGAGAGCACGGTCAAAATCGAGTGACATTTTAGAGAAGACGAAGAGTAATTGGGTTTCTATGACTAGTTTGTGGTCTGAAATTGTCGTTTGAAGGAGCTCCATCTCTGATGCTATCCGTCGAAGAGCATGAAGACGAAATCCCAGCCCGTTTTTGACGAAAGTGAAGGAGGACGTTTTGTGGTTGCCCTAAAAAGAATGCAGTTCAACGGGAATCAACTGCTGTCGTCTGGTGAGATTAGAACGTGTATATGAAGAGAAAAAAAGGGTTTTGCTGAATTCCATTTCGAATGGAACGTTGCTTGGAAGGAATTAGTGTTGTGGTAGCATCAGAAACCAATGGAGGACTGTCGAATTGTACGAAACAGTCCTCGGCGCACCGTCCTGCGGTCCAGATGAAGCTGTGCCAAGCTTTCGTCTGTACCACCGTGACAGACATCATCAGAGCAAGATTGCATAGAAGTGGGTTGACCTCGTTGTCGCAACTTGGTCTTGTTGTCATGGCGACTATGTGGAACGCACCTAGTCCGAAGTCGTCTTCCATAGTGGTTGTCATGATTCCCAGCATCTGACCGTGGACTTGGTACATTCTCAAACGTTTCGCCGGCATCGTAGTCGGCATCATCGGTCCGTTTTGCCATTCTCCGCACCAACCTACGAACTCGTCAAAGAGACAAGTGAAATCAATCCCTCGACAACCGTTCTGCTGGAGACGATTACACTATCACTCCTCTTTCTGTCATTGTCTATCTATCTACCCTTTACACTCTTCTCCCACCGCCACCCTTGTCTATTCGACGAGTTCATATCTTCGTGCGGAGAATGGCAAAGCTCACTGATGATGCCGGCGAAACGTTTGAAAATGTACCAAGTCGACTGTCTGATGCTGGGAATCATGACAACTACGATGGCAGACGACTTCGGACTAGGTGCGTTCTACACAGTCGCCCTGACAACAAGACCAAGTTGTGACAATGAGGTCAGCTAACTTTTATAAATCGAAAGGGGACTGCGATCATACATCTTGGTCTTCATCTCTTCCAGATTGCATACTTTACGAAATAGATACAAAATTTGCTAAACCAGGAGAAGAAGGTGACCGTCTGCACCAAACATCGTGACCTTAGTAAGGCCTGCCCTGATTTGGATGGCTACTTCAACCTTACTCTACATGGAGGTTGTTTGACCTTGTTTTCGCAACTTGGTCATGTTTGGTATGAAGACGTGGAGGAACGCACCCAATCCGGAGTCCATTGTATGCATGACCATTTGCAGAGTGGGACTGCGGACGTGGTAGAATGGACTCCGAATTGGGTGCGTTCCTCAAACTCTTCCTAACAACATGACCAAGTTGCGAAAACAAGGTCAACCGATTTCTATGCAACGAAAGGAGACTGCAACCACACAAAAGGCCACACCATCTTGGTTTTCATACCTTCGCTTACTCTGCATGCTTACAAATGAGTGAAGTGAACTTCCTCAACCGGAAATGTGTTCGCTGGCAGTTGTTTCCATTCGCAACGATGCTCTAATGTTGAATCACATTCGAGCTTGTGCTGTTGTCTATTGTGTGTGTGTGTGTGTGTGTGCAACGTTCATGTCATGGGAAGTGTGGTAGTCCCAGGTAGACTCGAGGACAAATCGCTTGTTCACTGCTTCTTCCTGCACTCCCTCTTTCTCCCTCTCCTTAAGTCTATCCAACAGCCCCAACTACTACCACTCCTTACTACTACTACTACTACTCCCTATTACTACTCCCTTTTCTACACTCTTGCCTCCTATTCACGACTTTGGTGGTGCTGTTAATTTCTACAGCCTCCCTAATCCAACGCTTTTACCTAAAGTACCCGAAACCGAAACCCACAAAAAGTTGTGTTTTCGACCGGTCCATTGAGTGTCCTGTATTGCCAGAATGTGTTCAACCAGCTCAGATTCTTGGAGCCACACACTTTTACAAGCGGTTTTGTCTTCACATAATCTCTTCTGGATGGCTCCGCAGGTCTTCACCGCATAGAACTCATCAAATGAGCACAAAACCTTGCAGCAGCCTGGTCCAGAAAGAGGGTCTGAATATTCTCTAAATGAACAGTCTCTGTATGCATTGTTTTTCTATTCCATTTTGTCAGTAGATCATACGACATTTTCGCAAGCCAGCAGGAATGCAAAATCAGGAGCCAGTTGTCTATCCCGCACCTGATAGTAAACTCCTCCAGTTATTCATCACCGTATACGAAATTGTGTGAAAACATCTCATACTACTGATTTACTGTTAGTCACGAAAACAATAATTAATTCGAAAAACAAAGTATAGTAGTCGATTGTTATAGCAAAACATACGTTTGCCTCATCGAAAATCACACCTAAATAATATGATATGGCAAAAAGGCCTGGCCTTCCTTGAAAATGTACATTTGCCCTGTGACCCAAAAGAGGCTCGTGACAGTGTGGCCGAGTGGTTGGGGTTGCAAGCTACCGTCCTGCATTTTCGTGGTTCGACTCCCGTTGAGGGTGTTGATAGGACCGTTGCGAGGTCGAAACTGCAGTTCACTGGTGCCTGGATGATGACAACTTTTGGGAAAGCAAGGTTATGTGAAATTGAATGGAAACGTTAGCTCAACTCATATCATTCTGGGAAAATTCTTCTGCTACCAGTCCTTCATCACCTTAAATGAAATTAAATGAATACATCTCATACTACTGATTTACTGGTAGTCATGACAACAATACTTAATACCCTAATCTTGTTGACTACAATCGATATGTTATTGTCTGCTGATCCTAATGTGCAACTGTTCCCAACATGCCAATCTCCTGGTCTCTATGGTTTGCCTTGTTGTCAAGCGGTAAAGTAATCGTCCATTTAGCGAACTAATAACTTTGGAAATTGGAGTGTTTTTCTTGAGACACGCGAACTTCTAATTAGGTCATGTAGTTATTAGCTAAAATAGTGACTAAACAAGAGCTATTACAGCCTACAATTGAATGTAAAATATGCATTATTCATTGCCAAATTGATAATCTAATTATTAAACCTTGATTCCTTCATTAATTCGTTTATCGGAATGTTAGTGTACATAGACACTACAGCAAAACTTACCAGTAAATCTCCTCTTTCTATCGTCTGATCATGAAGTAACTTATTAAATATATGAAGACCAAGATGTTGTGGCCTCTGCTATGGTCGCAGTCTCCTCGTTGTTGCAACTTGGTCTTGTTGTCAGGGCGACTATGTAGAACGCACCTTGTCCGAAGTCGTCTGGCATAATCGTTGTCATGATTCCCACCATTTGATGATGTATCAAGTCCACTTTCAGATGCTGGGAATCATGACAACTATTATGGCAGACGACTTCGGACAAGGTGCGTTCTACATAGTCGCCCTGACAACAAGACCAAGTTGCGACCACGAGGTCAACCCACTTCTAACTTATTAAAGTTGTAGGAGTTCTTTGCGGAATAGCTTTGAGTTTGGGGATTTACTTTAACTGATTACCTATAAATCGTGATGTTTTATGCATCAGGCTAGCTTTATTATTTAAAATACTACTAATTAAGGTACCTTGTCTATGAATTTGGGGTTCCAATATCTCGCCAGAGAAGTGTGTTGATTTTCCACTTTTCCACTTCTCCACTGTTTGCGCACTGTTGCGAAAGACCCTTAAGTCGGACCTTCTGTCGGGTCCATAATTACAATTTTATAGGTTGTCTCATCGTCTAATGCTCCTAACAATTTCACTAAACAATCACTCCTATCCATAACTACTACTGCTCCTACTTTGTATGTGGTTAATACTAGCTGTTCTATTATGATCTGGTGTTCCTACATGACCATCAATCAATTAAAGCGACAAATTTTAGTTCAGTGCCACTCCTCGTAGCCTCTGGGAGACAATCCGTTAAACTTATCAATTCTACCAAAATTTCCTCTTTTAGTGGTTGCGGTTTGGAAAGGTACAGTTTGAGCCCTTTTCTGGCAACTCTTCAGCAGAAATGTCCAATAAAGTTCTTTACATGAGCAAATTTTTATAGCCAAATTCCTCAAATTCCTATCATGTGTCTTTCTAGAATGTGCAAAAACTTTGTCATTTAACCTATCCGCTGTAGGTTTTTAAGCCCATTCTTAAAATAATTATACGTTTTCGTAAGGAGAACACATAGAGATTGGCTTCCAGCTCTTTAAAGTAAACAAACTTTGGCCATAAAGCGGACAAAACTCGTTCTCGCCCAAAGGCGACCAAAGATTCGGCCTTGACGTTGTCTTAGACGTGTTGCGTACCATCGGATACATTAATCGTGATACCCGACCTCAGTCCTGACGGAAATGGACTAAGTCTTCGTCTGTACCTTGACAGATCCCACTAAACACTTGCATACTAAATCAAAATGTTTAACAATGGCTTGGTATTTTTCGTTTATATGTGGGCCTTCGCGACTAACACTAGATCATATATACCTCAGCTGGTTTAAGGTGACATGAGGGCTGCTAGTTGAATTGTCCCTGAATCACATGAATAGGCCGTACTTTTCACTCCATATCTATGATCTACTTATAAACAAAAAATATGAAATGTATTTTTTGTATGTAATTAGAGTTTCGAGACTTATAGTAAATCAGTAGTATGACATGTATTCACCCAATTTCGTGTAAGGTGATGAAGGAGTGGTAGTCCAATTTTCCCACAATGATTTGAATAGAACTGACATTTACATTGAATTTCACAAAGCCTTGCTTTGCCAGGCCTTTCGTAATATCACATTCTTTGGTGGGATTGTTGATGAGGCAAACGTATATTTTATATTACAATCGACTACGTCACTTAGTTTTATTAATAAGACC